ATTTAAATTTCTTTCTCAAACTTTGGAAAAGCAAAATGAGCATCAGAAAGACCTAATGAATCTTATAAAATCATTTAAAAAGTATAGGAGATGTTATATTTTATATCTAAATGTTCCCACCAAACCTCATGCAGTCACACGTGGAGCTTTTCAGAGGTGGCTGGACCTAGAGTGTGTGATGCTAGATTTATATGTGTGATTCTGGGATGAAGTATATGATGCCGGGATCAAGAATATGTGTGATAAATTCATCCACTGCTTCGTTTGGCAAAGTTCTTGGGGTGGATAATCAGAAGCCCAGCCCGAATATAAGTGCAACCTGAACTAAGGGCATGTAGCCTGAATAGAATATAAGGGACAGGAAGAGGACTGCTGTTGTCATTTCTGCTTGCTGCTTCTTTGCTACTTAACCACTTTGCTGTCTGCCCAACATGAACAGTTTCTCCTCTGTGATGGTCCTCTACCATGTCACCCGCCTTGGAACCAGACAACTATAAATTGAAAGCTATACAAACCGTGAGCTGAAATAAACCTTTTCTCCTTTAACTTGGGGTGTTGGGTATTTTTTTTCAGCAACAAAATAGTAATTAAAACAGGTGGGACTAGATCTTTATTCTTTTTTGTAAGGATAATAGAATCCTGATGCCATAATTTGACATAAGTATGATAAAAAGAAAATCATAGACTAGTATCTCTCATCAACATAGATCCAAAAATTCTTTACAAAATATTGACAAGTTGATCTCCACAATATAAAAAGATTAGTAGAGCATGACTATGTGGTGTTTATCTCAGGCTTCAAATTTAAAAGTGAATCTATAAATCTCTATATTAATAGAACAAAAGGGAGAAACAAAATAGTCAACTTACTAGATGCAGAGGCTAATTTGTCAAAATTCACAACATATTTATGATTAAAAAGAAACCAGACATAAAGAATGAGAAATTAGAGTCATTCATAGGAAAATGGATGCATATTGAGGATATACTCAAGTGAAATAAATAAGTCACGTGTGTAAATACTGAATAGTTTCTCTGGTGTGAAAAACTATAATTGTACATAAGATCCTAATGGTATAATGGACAATGTGAAATAGGAAGAAAAGGGCTAAAGGTGTAGGGGAAGTGGGAAGGGTAGGGGAAAGGAGACAGGGAAAAGAAAAAAATAAGAAAAACTGGAAACAAAGTATTTGTAAGTAGGGAAGGGAGGAGAGGTGAAGGGAGGGCAGGGATAAGGGGAAAAAATGAGAACCAAGACCTGTCATGTAAAGGTACAAGATCCCAATGATGAATGTAACTGTACTGTATACCTAAAATGTACGAATAAACTCAATGAGAAAAAAGTAAAATAAAATATACCAATAAACTCAATGAGAAAAAAAAGTAGATTGCTTTTAAAAAGACTTGTTTAGAAAACCCTAAGAAATCTACACAAATTATAAGAAGAAGTCATCATTGAATTTGGCACAGTCATAAAATTAAAAAAAAAATCATTTAAAATTCAGTTATATTTCTATGTAGTAGCAAAAACTTAATTAGAAAATAAATTTTTAAAATAATTCCCTTCACTAGGCCAGTGATTTAGCTCAGTGGTGCCATGCTGGCCTCTTTAGCACAAGATCCTGAGTGTGATCCCCAGATCTGAACAGCAATGAAAAATTCCCTTTATAATACCTCTAAACATTTTGGGACACCTTAAAGCAAATAACTCAGATCTATATGTTGAAAACTATTACATGTTCCTGTGAGATCTAAAGATCTAAATAAATGAAGAGATACACTGTGTCCATGGATCAAAAGACTTATGCTGTTCACATGTTAATTCTCCCCACATTGGTTTGAATTCTTAATTTATTCACAATCACAATACTAGCAAGTATTTTCTGTAGAAATTGACAAGTTGATCCTAAAATTTTGATAAAAATGTAAAAGAGTCTGAGTAGCAAAAGTTACCTTGAAAAAAAAAAAAGATGGATGACTTACAGTACTTACTAATTTCAAAATTTACTATAAAGGTAGAGAGTCAAGGTACAAAAGATAAATCATTCCATGACATGGAATAGGTAATTCAGAAACAAACTCATACATGAGTCAATTTATATAACCAATAAAGTAGCCAGGGCAAGTAAATTGGAAAGGAAAATATTTTGTAAAGCAGAGATAAAAATATATGTATATATGAAAAATAAATATTAATCCCTGTTTACCTCATAAAAAATTAATTTTAAGTGTCTTATATATCTAATTTAGCAGCTATAATTATAAAGTTTCTGGATGAAAATAACGAATAATACTTTCCAATTTTAGGATTGAATCCAAGAGATAAAAAGAGCATAAAACATAAAACAACTTGATAAATTAATTGAAATCAAACATTAAAATATGCTCATCAAAACTATCCAAAGATAAAAAAGCAATTGGCAATACAGGAGAAAATATTTACACTAGATATCTCTGGCCAAAAAAAAACTTGTAAATCTCCTGTAAATAAATACCAACAAAAATCTCCAAACAGTCCAATTAAAAATAGAAAATATATTTGGACAAGCATTTCACAAAAGATTCACAAATAAAAAATAAGCAAATGAAAATGTATTTGAAACTTTAGTCATTAACATATACTTTGCACTCAATAGAATGCCTAAAATCAAGACTACAGATATAATATTGGACAATATGTAGAACATCTATAATTCTCAGGCATTGCTGCAAGATGTTTAAGACATAACAAATAGTTTGGGGAACATTTGATATAAATTTACTCTATCAGCCCCAACTATTTACTCAAAAGAGAAGAAAACAAAAGTCCTCAAAGCAATTTAAAATGACTTAATTATAGTCGAAACATTTAGAAAGACTCAAACATTCATCAAAAGGACAGTGAATGTGAAAAAAAAGAAGAATCAAAATATTATGTGTAGGTACAAATTCCCTATGATAAATGTAATCATTATGTATATCAAAAGTGTACCAATAAAATTACTTTTTTTTTTTTTTTTTTAGACAGGGTCTCACTATGTAGTTGAGACTGTCCTGGAACTCACTATGTAGCCCAGGCTGGTCTCGAACTCACAGAAATCCTCCTGCCTCAGCCTCCCGAGTGCTGGGATTATAGGCATGCGCCACCACACCCAGCTCCAATAAAATTACTTTTAAAATAAAGGACAATGAATGAACACAGCCAATACCCAAATAACTAAATGCCATTTGGCAATGAAAAAGAACAACTGATCAATTCACACAATACAAAAGATCTCAGAAACACATAAGAGTGGCTATTACATGAAGCTCGAGAGCAATCAATCAAAATTAATCTATATTGACAAAGATTAAAATAATAGTTATCTATCAGGGGGAGGGGAAGTTTTATAGGAAGAAACTTTAAGAAGTCTTGTGGAGTAATGGAAATCTTTTATTTCCTAAAGAGAGTGATGGCTACGTGAGTGTTTCCACAGGCTAAATGCTATGTCCACGCAAAATTCTTATGATGAAATCCTAACACCCAAGGTGATTAGAAGATGGGCCTTTGGACATGAGAGTAGAGCCCTTAAGAATAGGACTAATTCCTTATGAAAGAGAATTAGGAGAGTTTCCTTACCCCTTTCACCATGAACCAGGAAGATGATGTCCATGAACCGGGAAGTGGGTCCTCATCACACAGTAAGTCTTCCAGTTCCTTAATCTTGGATTCCGCAAACTTCAGAACTGTGAGAAATAAATCTTGGTTGTTTAAGTCATCCAATCTAAGATATCCTTATTATTGCAGCCCAAACAGATTGACAAGTATATACATTCATAAAAACTAAAACCTGCATACTTAACAAGTGCTAAGAAAACAAAAGAAAAGCAATATATCAAAGGAACAGGAGCAAACATGAAAAAGATTCAATACCAAAACTGGGACAATTTGAACAACAAAGTAGATAGCACCCTATTAAGTTATAACCCAAGATGATAGATGAGTATAAACTGATAAAAATAAAAGATGAACCATAAATAGATGGGGAAGATGAGACAAATTCTCCTTACAGAAAAATTCCAAGTTATATGATTGCCAGTTTGACTGGATGAAGAGACTTCTGGAGAGGTGATCGGATTGTAAGAGGTAACATCAGTGACTAGCTCATTGAGTTCATTGCTCAATAGGTTATTAAAGCGTGGGGCCTCATTATACAAAGTGACTCGTGGAAATATAACCTTGGAGACTCTGCCTTTCTCAGAGTCCTTCCAACCAGCTCTACTTCCAGCCGTCATGAATTAAGCAGCCTTTTACCAGCACTCTCTTCCACTATGATGTTTCTGCCTTGGAGGCAAACAAGCATGGACTGAACCTCGGAAATTGTGATCCAAAATAAACCTCCTCTCTTCTTTAAGCTGTACATGTCAGACATTTTTTCCTAGCAACAAAAAGCTGTTTCAAACACTTTATAGCATTAAAATATTTGTATTAAAAAACAATCAATTACTGAATCAATTACTTCTTCTTCCATATGAAGAAATTGAAAGAGAAAAGAAAACTAAATAAAAGTTCTACAGAATGGAAAGAAAAAGGAAAAACTATGTAACTATGTAGAGATGACATGATCATTTCCATAAAAAATCTTGTGAAAACTTAAAAGTAATAAAAATAAAATTATTAACTATCCATTCTATTTCTTTTTTTTCAGCTTTAATTGAGTTTATTGGTACATTTTAGGGATACAGTACAGTCACATTCATTGTTGGGATCTTGTACCTCTACATGACAAGTATTTCTATATTATAACAACACACAAATGGAATTGAAATGATGCAAGATGTAAGTTAGACAAAAAAGAGTACATAATATCCTGGAAAATGCAGTCACCACAGTAATAGAAAGCAGGTCAGTGGTTCCGAGAAGATGCAGAAAACAGGGGAGCATCGGAGAAAGGAATTATATTTTCTGGATTGTGCTCAGGTGTTCAGAATGTATTCAAATAGAGAATTAAAATCATGGCAGTAACATGATCTTATTCCTATAAAATGCTCATTGAGCAAAGTAAAGCAACCAGATCCACTTCTGGTCAGGTGGCTACATCTAGTTATTTTACAAGTGAGCTTATATATGGATCTCTGGTAGTTTTATTTCAGAAACTAGGTCCTCCAATTTCACACTGAATTTCCTGAAGAACAGATTGGATTGCTGACATATTCTATTATGAAATATAATATTCATCAAATTTTTATTAAATACCACCTGCCTGTCAGATACCAATGATTTTTTTCATTAAAAAATATTGGCACTGATGATGTAAGCACAGTATTCAAACTAAAGCAAATCTCAGTGACTATATTTTTCAATAGATCCTAGTTTTTAGAGCAGTTTTAGATTCCCAGAAAATTGAGCAGAAACAACAAAGTTCCTACACATCCCTCGATTCCCCCCACAAACATACACATATAGTCTCACCCACTGTGAACATCCCCACAGGGTGGAACGTATGTTATAATCTATGATCCTCATTGCCCAAAGTCCATAGTTCGCATCAGTGATCACTTTCGGTGCTGTATTTTCAATAGTTTTGACAAACATGTACTGACCTGTAGTTACCATCAGAGTACCATAGCAGTAGAATAGTTTCACTGTGTTAAAAATCCTCTGTGCTATTCCTCTGCACCTCTCCTCCCATTAGCCCCTGACAGCCCTCATCTTTTTAATATCTCTAGAGTTTCATCTTTTCCAGAACATCACACAGTTTGTGGCCTTTTCTGCTTGACTTCTTTCACCTAGTAATTGTTAGACAAAATGGCCACAGGGAGGTCTGGTACTCAAAATGCCATGATGCTCTCCTGCCCCCCAGCCCTTTATAAACCTCGCCCAGTTAGTCCCTCTCTCTCTCAATTGTTCAAGATAGCCGGGAAACTCTTTCCCACAATAAAGCCTTGCCTTGGGTGCTACTGTTTTGGTTTGATTTCTTCTGGTAATATATATTTAAGGTTCTTCTGTTTCTGTTCTTGGCTCAATAGCTCATTTCTTTTTAGCACTGACTGATATCCCATTGCCCCAATATAACACAGTTTATCCATTTACCTACTAAGAGACATTTTCCCTGCTTTCAAGTTTTGGCAATTTTGAATGAAGTTGCTATAAATGTTAGTATATAGCTTTTTGTGTGGAAATGTTTCAAACCATTTGCATAAATACCAAGGAGTACAACTTCTGGATCTTAAAGTAATGGCATGTTTAGTTTTGTTATGAAACTACCAAACTGTCTTCCAAATTGATAGTACCATTTTACATTCCTTCCAGCAATGAATGGGAGTTCCTGTTGCCCCATATCTGGGTTCAGTATTTAATGTTGTCAGTGCTTCGGATTTGGGCCATTCTAGTAGGTATGTAGGGGTATCTCACTGTTATTTTAATTTGCATTTCACTTATGTTAAGTGATGTTTGACATTTTCCATAACCCTTGGTGAAGATATCTGTTCAGAAATTTTGCCTATTTATTAATCAACTTGTTCATTTACTCAATTTTGAGATTTTGAATTACACTCCTTTATCAGATATGTCTTTGCAAATATTTTCTCCAACTCTGTGGATCATTGTCACATTTTCTGAAAACAATTATATTTTAATGTAGCATATTTTGAGCATTGCTACATCTTCAGTTTATAAATTTACATATCAATATGTATACTAATTAAAAAATAAAATACTACTATAAACACAAGCTATACACAGTGGTACCTTGTTTCACAAATTTAATTTGTTCCATAATTCTGGAAAAGATGGCCACTTTCATGTTTATAGGGGAAAGATGGCCAAGGTCAAGTTCATCACCAGATGCAGAGTTCACAAACAAAAAAAATTTTTTTTTGCCAGATGCTTTGGTTTATGAACCAAATTATTTTCAAACAAAAGCATTAATGAACCAAGGTGCCACTGTAAAATAATGTGCATTGTCACCTAAGCAATTATTCCTATTCATAATTATACTGAAGAAAATGTACAAATGCATTTTAGTTCTTAGAAAATGATTAAATGAATTAGGTTGAAATTGTTATTAATAAATCTGATTTTTTCCATGCATTCATACTCATCCCCAAGATCACAGAACACCAAATAATGGAAAGATATGAAAAAGAGAAACAAAATTATATTATTTAATATTTTTCCCCTTGTAATCACTAGTTTTAGTATTTCAAAATTATGGAAGACTTTTCATTTTCCATTGTAGAGATTAATTTTTCTTTTGGGGGGAGCAATTAAGCAAGAAAATTTTTAACAACATCCTTGCTGTTTCCAAGCTGTACAGCTGAAATTTTGAGTTATTTTTACTATTACTTTATTGTTGAAGAAAAACGTGCTTAAAAATACCTTTATTAAAAAGAGGTAAACTATAATTAAAAGAAATTTAAAATATGTCATCAACTATAATATATGAATTGTACTTGAATTAACATAAGCAATAAAAAGCAAAAGCAAAGGCAATATATCAAGAAATCATGGAAATCTGAACACTATTTGATATTATTGAGGAATTTGGTTATATTTACACGTGATAATGGTACTGTGGTTTTGCCTTTTTAAAGGAGATGGTAGCAGACTCTCAGCTCTGTGTTCAAATATCCTTGGATACCTGTCCAATTTCCAATTCCCAGCATCTGTGTCTCTTTCCTTGAGGCTTTCTGTGTTTTCCAAAGCCCCAAGAGTAGACTTGAAGAGTTGATGAATTCATATAGCTATCCATTCCACTCCCACCAACCAGAAGCACTCAGCCTACCACTTTGGGGGTTAGCGAATGTATATTCGAGTTCAGTAGCATACATACTAGAGCACATCTTCTCTGCTGCCTCCAAGAGTTCTCCAGCAGGATTAAACTAAATTTGGCAGGAACATGCTTTTTGATGTTCCCTTTATTGATTTCCTTCGCTTTCCTCCCTCATATTCCCACTTGCTGACATGTATTTCCAAATAAATGGTTTTCATTAAAACCTTTATCTCAGGGTTCACCTCTTGGGTACCACAAACCACCACAGATACATACTAGAACTTCCAAAAATGATATGATGGTTATGATTTCTTCAAACTAATGTCAAGAAAAGACAAGATTGGTTATGTTAAAAGTTCTAGAACTAAGTGATGGAAACACTGGGGTTTCATTTTCTTTTCTTATCTATTTTGATAAGTTCGTAATTTTCCATAAAAATAAATTTAATGCTTTAAGTCAACACTTAAACTCATAAAAGTTCAAATACAAAACAAATGGGATTTCAAATAGGAAAGGCATCAGTCTTTCTTTTTTCAACTCACTAGCCATCTGGAAAACATTAAATAAAGCTACCTTTCTGAAATAAATTACAGGGAAATAAAATATTTGAATATATAAAATACAATCACGAAATTATTAAAAGAAAAGTAGGAGAATTTATTTCTTTTGGGAGATGAGAAGGCTTCTCTTAATAATACATAAAACCCAAATTCCAAAAGGATTAGTGCAGTGGACTACATTTTTTAAAGTTTCATTTTGTTTTGTTCTCTGCACAAAAAAGTATAATACCATATAAAGTAAAAAAAAAAAAAAGATCAACTGGTAAAAATGTTTCACAACATGACAATATACTCATTTCCTTAATTTATAAAGGCCTCTTAGAAATCAGTCATAAAAAGACCATTAAACCAATAAAAAAAATAACAAAGAACTTACAGAAGCAGTTCATAGAAAAAATCATGAATGGCTTAT